CAGTCCTAGTGTAGCCAGCAGCTCCTTCCGCCATCTAAATCCCACAAGGTGGCTGAGCTCCTCCCTGGCCTATTTATAATGGCCCAGGAAGGACTTGCCATTTGCACACAGCCTTTGTGATGCGTGTGTCTGTGCATTTCCTCATGGAAGCAGCACCTGCCTGTGGGACTTTCCAGGACAGAGACCCAGTTCTTTACGCAACCGAGGGACATCAGAGCTTTGCTTTTCCTACAAGTTGATTCAACAAGCAGAAACTCCTAAGAATTCCAGGAACCTTCATTCAGTGTCTTATTTAGCCCCATGAGACAACTTCCCAACTACTCCCCTCTCTCTCAACTGCTTCAAAGATTTGAAGCTGGATGCCTCTGCTGTATGTTCTGTCAGTGGAAAATTTTAACAAGGTCTGTTTCCACAACTGTGTCCAGACTTCGGGCCCCTCCTTTATAGACTGCCTATAAGAAAAGTGCTGATTCCAACAAGTTCCCAGGGAGTCTTGTTCTCAATTATGGGCATTCCACTTAACCTACCGCACATGCAGACTGAAGGGGCTTTCTAAGCAGCTGTGTCTCGGTGATCAGCCCCTATTCAATAGAGACTCCATCTCCCTGCCCTTTGTATGAAAAGAAACAAAACCAGAGAGCCCTGTTCAGGTCCTTCACAATGCACACATGTGCAAGCATGCACACACGCACGCGCGCGCGCACAAACACACACACACACACACACATACACACACACAGATTTGCTTTAGATAAAGTTTCACTATGTATCCCAGGCTGGCCTCAAACTGCCTCAGCCTCCTGAGTACTGAGATCGTAGCCCGGTATGACCACACTGGGCCCATAATGGATATTCAAAATCAACATACTGCACTGTGTTACATTTCCTGCTGTTGTTGTGTTTAGGTCTCTTCCTCCCCACTGAGCCTATTCAACACTCCCTTTGGGAGATGGTCTGCAGTTATAGGAGACAGTGAAAACACATATCGAACTTCACATGGTATTAGACAGGCAGCGGGGAGAAGCCCTCAATAAAACCTCAAGGTAGAGTTCCGGTTATAGCTGTGCTGTTTCTGCAGGGCTTTCCATGGAGAGCAAGGATAAGGCTTAGCAGGCCAGCAGTACACACTTCTGGGCAATTCTGCACCCTGGGCTCACCATTCACACATTAGCATCCATGAGCCCACACAAGCTCAGTCCTAGTGTAACCAGCAGCTCCTTCCGCCATCTAAATCCCACAAGGTGGCTGAGCTCCTCCCTGGCCTATTTATAATGGCCCAGGAAGGACTTTCCATTTGCACACAGCCTTTGTGATGCGTGTGTCTGTGCATTTCCTCATGGAAGCAGCACCTGCCTGTGGGACTTTCCAGGACAGAGACCCAGTTCTTTACGCAACCGAGGGACATCAGAGCTTTGCTTTTCCTACAAGTTGATTCAACAAGCAGAAACTCCTAAGAATGTCAAAAGTTTTTCCGTGTCAAAGTTCAAAATGAGCTTGACTGAAAGGAAAATTGAATTTCTTTTCTAAATAGAGTGCTTTATTATCTTGGCCAGGGGGCTATTCCTCAACAACACAAAGTTTTCTGGAGATTGTGGAAAGGGAAACTGCAATTTTTCCATGTCCACCATGACCTAATCCTGAAATCTGACAAGAGAGTATTACCTCTGATATTAGATGCAGAATAGAAACTGTAACACCTGATGAGGAAGAAAATCATTGGTGCTGCAAAGAGGCTGGAGCCATAGCTTGGGTGGAGGATGAAAAACTAGAGCACTTCATCTGGAAGGAAAGCAACCTCGGAGCAGGCAGACAACTGAGTCAGAAGTCAGAAAACAAAAATAAACCTCCAAGGCAACTGCGCAACTAGGCTAGCCTCCAGCGAAGAGTGGAGGAACTGCTCAGGAAGTGAACTCCCAGGAACACGACAGAAGCTAGGAAACAGCAATGCTGTCCACTGATCTCTGGCCCAGCCCTGCGCAGGCAGAGGGGGTGGCAGGGAGTGCTAAGGCTCCCTCATCTTCACTCCTCAATCTGCAACCTAGGGCTGCACAGCGTGGATCTGGCTGCCAGACACCCAACCAGGCAGAAGGAACACAGCGAAGCTCTACATACAGCTGACATCTGCACGTTCTCTGAACCAGTCGAGGCCTCCTGAGCCTCCCATGGACACCTCTCTTACATGGCACAGAGGAGCTGAGCCCAGAGGTCCCCGACAGATGAGCTGGATTATCTGCAGGACGGTTTAAGTACTCACTGGATCCATCCAGCTCAGAGCAGACTTCGGGCTTCTCTGATGGGAAGACAGCACGGCCAGGGTGCCGGGCAGGGTGCAGATACCATTCACCTGATGAATCTGGCAGAAGTTCATTTACTTCCTTCTCCTGTACCTCATCACATAGACGGGGGAGATAAAGCAGAACAGAAGATCAAATCGGGATTGATTAGAACCCACAGCTGCCCACGTGGTTGTCAATCAAAGCGTAAGGGTGAATTTCAACAGCTGTTAAGAAAAGAATGAGGGAAACTGAGCCCTCTGGATTGCAAATTGCTTGTTTGCCGTGAGAATGAGGCAGACAGACTGACAGATACAAACACAGAAAGATCAATCACTTCTCCACGAACTGAGTAGATAACAAGGTGATAAGGAAGAAAACTAGGTGATGTTTGTATACCTGTGTACATTCTGTAATGTTTAAATCAGATTAAATGTATCTCATCAAACATTGCCATTTCCTTATGATGAAAGCATTCCAAATCTTTCTAGCTTTTTGAAATGTACTGTACATTATAGTCACTCCACTGTGCAGTACCACAGAACCTCTTACCCCTATCCAATTTAATATCATTGATCAGTGTCATCTCTCCTTCCTTAATGCTGTACCCAGCCTCCGGTGGTAATCACCATTTTTCTCTCAACTTCTATGAGATAAACTTATATTCTACATACAAGGGAGATTATGTAGTGCATGGCTTATTTTACTGAACATAATTATCTCTAGTTCTATTCATGTTGCAAGTAACAAGGCCTCATTTTTATGGAGAAATATTCAGTGGTGTATATGTACCATATTTTCTTTATCAATTCATCAGTTGATGGTTGTTTCCACTTCTTAGCTATTGTCAATAACGCTGCAGGAAACTTGGGAGTGCCAATATCTCGGCATACTGATTTAGTTCTCTTTCTTTCTCTCTTTCTTTCTTGGCAAGGTCTCACTGTGTTACACAGCCTCAACTCCTGGGTTCAAATAATTCTGCTTCCGCCTTGCCAAGTTACTGGGACTATGCTTTCTTTGGCAACACATACGCCATGTAGCTAGGATATCAGGACGTATGTCACCTCCGTGTCTACTTAATTTCCTTTGCATATACACCAAATAATGGCATCTCTGGATCATGTGGTAGTTCTATTTTAAATTTTTTGAGGAACCACCATAATGTTTTCCATAACAGCTGTACTAATTTATATTCCTACTAACAATGTCTCACATCTTTGCCAGCACTTATATTTAATCTTGTTGATAATAGCCATACTAACAGGTATGAAGTAATATCTCATTGTGTCTTTGATTTGTTCATCTGAGTAGTAATGTTGGGCATTTTTTTTTCATATCTTGTTGGCCATTTAAATGTCTTTTGAGAAATCTCTAGGTCTATTGCCTATTTATTTATTTATTTATTTTTATTTTTTTGCTATTTTGGGGGGTTAATATTCTGGATACCAACCACTTGTCAAAAATGGGAAGAAAGGAGCTAAAGGTGTAGAGAAAGTGGGAAGGGTAGAGGAAAACTAATAAGGGGAAAGAAAAAATATGACAAAATGAAAAAATGGAAATGAAGTGTTTGTAAAGGAGGAGGAGAGGAGCAGGTGAAGGGAGGGCAGGGACAAGGGGAAAAAATGAGAACCAAGACCTGTCGTGTAAAGGGACAAGATCCCAATGATGAATGTAACTGTACTGTATACCTAAAGTGTACCAATAAACTTAATGGGGAAAAAGAAGGAAGAAAACCAAACTGTGCTTGGAAGGTTGAGTAATGAGAGGGAGCAAGTAATAAGAAGACAGCAAAGCCGGGTGTGGTGGCACACACCTGTAATCCCAACACTCAGAAGGCTGAGACAGGAGAATCACTGTGAATTAGAGACCAGCCTGGGCTACATAGTGAGATCCAGGTCAGTCTCAACTATATAGTGAGACCCTGTCTCAAAAAAACCAAAAAAACAAAATAAACAACAAAAAAAAGAGTGATAGCAGGAGCTTAATGTTGTGTATACACAATGTTCAATCTTATAAGGGACCAGTGGACATGGGCTCATGCACTGTAAACTGCCAGAGAGTTGCAGTTCTCAAAACTTTTTCAAGCAGGGTATGGTGGGGCACACCTGTAATTCCAGCACTTGGGAGGCTGAGGCAGGAGGATAGTCACAACTTCAAGGCCAGCCTGGGTTATATACTGAGTTCAAGGCCTGAACAACATAGGAAAAAAAATGCTTTTCCCTCAATATTGTGACATGACATGAATTTCCTCAGGGGGCTCTGCTGGTTCCTTCTTCTTTTCTTGCTATGGCACATGTCATTGCCTCACTCTGACAGAACTGAAACCATATGTGCATTTTATCTTGATTTCACCCTTATATGGAAAAAGTGGTTTCTTTTAAGGGCAGGAGTTCCCACAACTGCTTAGCTCCTAAAGGTCAGACTCTACATTTACCATGGGAAAACAACAGACACTGCAAAAGGACCCTGGGGTCTCTGGAAGACTAAACAGTGTCACAACCACCAGCATTCTTCCTCTTCCTTTAGAATTTGTGACGACTTTGATACCC